TTTGCCTGCGTGGTGGTCGTAGGATCTTCGGCCCCGGCATCGGGTCGCTGTCTGGCGACTGCAAAGGGCTGATGCATCGCAAACTTCAGATGACAGCCCACCAAGTTCGACGACGTACACCACTTCCCCACCTGCCTCACTACACTCGACTACGGCGTCGACATCATCGGGATTTGTGGTGGGGAGGCCCGGGCGAGCCACCTTGCTGTCCGACGCCGCCTCCGGGTTGGCAGGATTTTCGATCTGTTCACTGGCTGTGACCTCAATGACGAAGGCCAAAAACGCGCAGTGGAGAGGTGCGTGCGCCTGCGCCGACCTCCAGTGGCCATCGTGGCCCCCGCGTGCTGGCGATTCGGTCGTTGAGCGACGTGCAACTACAAGCTCAAGCTCAACTGCGACGCGTGGGGGGTAGCAGTTGGCTGAAACCGAGGTCGCGGGACTCATCCCCAGCTGCGACCAAACGGCGGCGCCGATGCAACAGGAGGTGCCTGACCCATCCTACAACGGCGCTTTGATTTATTCTACAGCTGCGCTGTTGCGACTCCTACTAATACTACTACTGCTACTACTACTACTACTCCTACTACGACTACTACTACGGTTACTACTACTACTACTACTACTACTACCACTACCACTACTACTACTACTGCTACTACTACTGCTACTACTACTACTACTACTACAGCTACTGTCACTACGACTACGACTACGACTACGACTACTACCACTACTTCTATGACGACTACACCTACTACTACTGCTACTATTATTATTCCTACTGCTACTGCTACTGCTACTGCTACTGCTACTGCTACTACTACTACTACTACTACTACCACTACTACTACTACTGCTACTACTACTACTACTACTACTACTACTACTACTACTACTACTACTATCTTCTTCCTCTAATCATTTTTGCGACGAAGGCGAGCACCGCTACTGCTTACTCTTCTTCTGATATTACTACGCACAGCCCCCTAGTGCGACGGGCCACGTTGCGTCGCTGGCCCGCGGGTTCCCAACGGCTCGGGCGGGTGATCCAATGAGACCAACAACTAGTACTACTAGTATTATTCTTACGACTACTACTACTACTACTATTACTACTACTACTACTACTACTACTACTACTACTACTACTACTACTACTACTACTTTTACTACTACTACTACTACTACGACTACGACTACTACTACTACTACTACTACTACTACTACTACTACTACTACTACTACTACTACTACCACTACTATCGCTACTACTATTGTTATTATTAATACTACTACTACTACTACAGGTACTTGGCTCAAGTTGGCTCAAGGCTCAAGTCCGTCTCAAGGTATCTGCACTGAGTATCGCGGATTGCGGACCCCGGTAAGCCCCGCCCACGCCAGCGCGCCCCCCCTTTCGCGCCGCCGTGGCTACCCTCGCGCGCGCCGCCGCGGTGCTGGCGCTGCTGCCCGCCCTCGCGGGGGACGTCGCGCCCGAGCAGGGCGCCGCCGCGCTCGAGCAGGAGGGCGGCAAGCGCGAGGCCGCCATGCAGATGGAGCTTCTGCGGAAGTCCCTTGTTGGCGAGAACACGCCTTTCACCATCAAGCAAAGCTACACCCCCAACTCGCTGGGCAAGAGCACTGCCTCGCTGATCGAGCACAGCACCGACGCGAGCTTGGCGTTCACGAAGTTCCTCATCCCCACGGTGTCCGAGCGGGAGGCGAAGGAGCCGACGAACGTCCACAACCAGGAGCGCGACAATTTCACGGTCATGGTGCAGAAGACGACCCTGGGGGGCGCGGCTCTCCGGGCCGACGACGTGCATTCCACCAACACATCCGACTGGGTCGCGTGGCCGACGGACAACGGGAAGGCCGCCCGCGACCGCTTGCTGATCGCGCTCGGGGAAGGGATGGACCCAGCGACCTGCCTCTTCGGGGGGCACATGTCGCAGTTCAACTTCCACGGCGTCGACGCCGACGGCTTCCGCAGGGAGGTCGACGGACTCAAGATCCGTGACGTGGTGCGAATCATCCAGGAGGAGCTGGGCTACATGGGGGAACACTGCCCGCGGCTGGACATGCGCGCCGCCTTCGACGACAACGACCTGGACTCGCACGCGCGCATGTGGCGGCCCGATCACGACGTGCCGCTCATCGCGCTAAGGTGTCCCGCGTTCGACGGGGAGCGGTCGCTGTATTCGCTGATCGTCCACGCACCCGCCACGCAGGAGGTGTTCGATATCGTCTCCGCGTCAACGACGTCGTACCACGGGTTAGTATTGAAGGAGGTCCCGATGGCCCGACATATCTTCTGGCAGGACGATCTGCGCCTGCTGATGCTCAGCCTGGGTCCCATGCCGCTTCAATTCAGCCGCTCCCATTACGACCTGGGCGCCGTCGAGGCACACTACACGTGGTTTCTAGACAGGGAGCCGATCCACGAAGTGCGGGACACGGACACTGGATTCAGTTTCGTATCTGGCTGGCACCAAAGTGGTGCCACCAACAAAGTCGACGGTTTGTCTCACTTTCACGATGGCGCGTCGATCTGCATCAGGCTGATCCTGCCGTTCGGAGTCACACCAGTGACCTACGAGTGCAGCCTTTTGCATGGGAACGGCGGCACCATCCGACAACACTACCAGTACACTCATCACTACCACTCCAAGAACGACTCCGAGTACGACGTCATGGACACAGGGGGTGGAACCACGGCCCTAAAAAGTTTGTCATCTCAGAGCACCCCACAAAACCATCGGGTCATCCCTACGCTACCCCATTCCCGCCTGTATCCTATCCTTGTCCCGACCCCCACGCGCCCTTTCGGGCTCCCTGATTTGGCAATCATTGCTTCTGCAAGGTCAGGCCTCTCAGAAGGATCGCTGGGCCCGGCCTCGGAGCACATGGACGCCGAGCTCATCTACCACGGCAGCACCGACGCCAGCTTCAGCATCGGCATGAACGCTAACACGGGCTTCCGCACCCGAGCCGACGCCGAGGACAGCAGCGACGCCAGCACCAAAGACAACACCTACGCTGTCACCCAGAACATCACCAACTTCTACGGCTACGCCAGCGCTGACGCCAGCACATTCGCTGACTATGACGCCAGATTCAACATCGACACCAACACCAGCACTGACGTCAGCATCAGCGCCGGCACATGCGACAGCAGCGACGCCAGCACCAACGTCAACAACCACGCTAGCGCCCACCAGCAACAACCGCAGCGTCCGCGACAGTCCGGACAAATGCAAGACTCACGACAAAAAGGACTGCGACGACATCACCCACATCTACACCGACGCTGCCAGCCCCAACCTCCACTTCATCCTCGACTGGCAGCGCCCACTGATTCCGAGTTCGGGGCTACTGCCAAGGCCTGTGGCAACTCTCGCAAAACAGGCGTCGAGTACACAGACGGCTCGCAGACAGAAGCATCTCACAGAGCAGTCACTTGCTCCAAGGCCCAGACCCAGAGGCCACTGCGAGGGCTTCGACGCCAATGCCACGACTGACGCCCACGTCAACGCGGATCCCATCACTCTAGAGGAGCACTCCGTGTTCCTCGAGGCTTCCATCGACTCCAAGAAGTTCCAGGAGCTGTCGATGCAGAAGCAGGCGTGGCACGTACAACACCACGCCAACGACGAGGAGGGACACTCCCAGCTCAGCCATATCGACACGGGGGACTACACCTGCCACGACCTTGCCCTCCTTCGCATTTTGAAGCACGACAGCGAGTACGTGGTCGACGGCACCGAGTCCGGCACCGAATTTGACGTCTACTATCGCGCAGAGCTCCACACGTCTGCCACACAGGACCTGACTATGCAACATTGTCATGGCGGTTCGTTTTCGTCGACCCCTAGCTGCCCGCCGTCCCCGACTCCAGCTCCGATCTTCTTCCGCCGCTCCGAGGACGATGACAGCGAGTACGCCGTCATGGACACAGGGGAGGAAAACAGGGTCACTAAAATGAGGTTGAATCGGATGGGGCCACAGGGGCATCGATGACCCACCCCTACCCCTCCCCTGATTCGAGCCACAGACTCCCTTTAGAACCCAACCCTTGTGTGTCCAGTGCTTCTGCCAGGTCAGGTCCCTCAGGATGCTGGTCGGGCGCGGGCTCTCGGCACAATGGTTCTGGGGCATACGCGGGCAGCGACGTCAGCACCGCCGCTGACATGCACACCAACGCTGCCGCCAGCCTTAACGTCAACGTCCGCCTCTTCACTGACGACGCCACCCACGACAGCACCGACGGCAGCAGAGACGTCAACACCAACACCAGCCCCTACGCCAACACCACGCCGTTCGACGCCTGCACTGCCTACCGGTCTGACGCCGGTGCCGACTCACATTTCGACGCTTGCACCGACACCCAGCCCGACGCCGGCGCCGACGTCCAGTCCGACACTTGCGCCGACTCCCAGCTCGACGCCTGCGTGGATCCCCAGTCCGACGCCTGCGCCGATTCCCAATCCGATGCTGGCGCCAACGCTCAGCTCTGCGATGGCGACGACCCCGACGCCTGCTCCGACCTCCCGCCCAACGCCTACGCCTTCCAGTATATGGACACCGACGTCGCCACCTTCAACAACGCCAACGACAGCTTCAACATCGGCTCTGAAGCTAGCGCTGGTGTTCTCAGCTTGGCTGGCGCCCAGGACAAGAAGGACGTCAGCAGCGCCAACGACGACATTCACGCCAGCATCCACGACAGCCGAACCCCCAACGCCCGCGCCAGCATTGGCGCTAGCACAGGCACCAACACTAGCGCCCGCCTCAGCATCAGCATCAACACCAGAACTGACGTCAGCACCCCGGCGAGCACCCGTGACAGCAGCGACGACAGCATTCACGACGGTGCACCGCAATACGACGGTGCCCAGCACGATGGATCCCAGCATCAACCCCGCACCGACTTCAGCATCGACAGCAGCACCGACATCTGCTCCGACGCCAGCGCCTCAGCCAGTGCCAGCGCCTCGGTCATGTGCTTCAAGCTGCTCCAGAGTCCCTCTAACTGGCTAGCGCACTCCGTCTTGGTGATGTACTGGCTGTTAGCCTCCACGGGCATGGACATCGCAGATACTGCGGGTCTTCGGCGCACCCTGGAGGCAGCCTGGAAAAAGATGAACAGGCAGAAAGATGTTAAGGGACGTTTACTAATTTGTGCAAGGCTGGTGGGGCGATCCCGCAGGCGCTGGAGGGCACGGGGCCGACGACGCGAAGTTGTGTATGCCTTAGCGGTCAGCGTCTACGACCACATCGACGAGCAGTGCGCTGTCTTCATCTACAACGGCTCGTGCGTGGACATCGCGGCTTACATCATGATCATGGCAACAACACCGTCAACCGCTGAGGACAGGGGACCGCTGGTTACGGGGACACCCCAGCCGGCGGAAACCGTGACACGTGCAGCCGCGCCAAGACAGTGTCCACGCCAACGCCAACGCCGTGGCACTGACACCCAATACAGTACCCACGCCAACGCCGACAGTACAGCCTCCAGCCGTGGATGTATGCAGATACTCGTGAAGACACCCACGGGGAAGACGATCACAATCGACGTGGTGGACACAGATACGATCGATGGAGTGAAGAAGATGATACAGGACAAGGAAGGAGTCGCTCCTGCTCGACAACGCCTGATCTACGCAGGAAAGCAACCTCGTGACAGCCAAAAGCTTCGGGACTACAATGTGCAGATGCACGCCACCCTGCACTTGGTGCTGCGCCTGCTGGGAGGAAGCCCGGCCAGCCTAGCTACGGGGCTGCATTCCTGTCAGCACAGTGCATGCCCACTCTTCGGTGTTTTGGCTCCGGGCGCTGGCCGATGCCCATCCTGCCATTAGGAACGACAGGTGCAGGCTCTAGCAACGCCGCCGCCCGATCAGGTTGAAGGCGCTGGACTACCGCGAGATGGTTTGGTCGCAGCTCCTCCTGGACTCCCCGTCCCTGCTCACCAGACCCCCTCTGTCCCCCGACCCGCCGAAGCCCCCGACGCGCTACCAGCGGCTCCCGAAAGGAATGGGGCGATTGAGAGGACCGACTCGGGGCCGGCAGCTTCTGGCCTTTCACAAGACATGAGTACGCTACACATGGAATCCTCGAGGGGGGCCGCGCCCTCAGCGCATCAAGATCTCGCGGTCCATATGATCGAGCTTTTGGAAAAGGAGATCCTGGACAACAGTGACATCATTGCTGCAGCCAGATCCGTCGCTCCCCACCTCCCTGAAACCAATCTTACCGGACTCATCGCAGCGCAAGATTACACCCGAGTCGCGGAGTTGAAGTCCTTCCTGGAAGCCATGGGGTTCGCCTTCGGGAGCCCATCACCATTTGGTATCTTGGGCTTCTCCGAGCTGGACGGCCCCGAGGTGGATGAGACCAGGCTGCATGGGCGACGTGCCTGGGCAGAGAAGTTCATTCAGCACTGGGCTACACCGACCACCCAGACCGCGTGCGACCAGGTTTTCGGCAGTATAAGCATTGCCTGCGAAACGTGCCTCCTCGAGCTGAAGGACGTCCAGAGGAAGAGGAAGTTGATCAAGGTGCTGGCAAAAAAGACGGACCACTGGAGGGAGCTATCACCGGCAGGACTGGCCTGCATCATGGGTTTCCGCCCCCACGGCGCCGAAACTTCTCCAACAGTAGCTGCCCAGCTTAGCAACATATTCAAGCAGGACTTTTCGACGCACGCCAACCTGGCTTCCATCGGGGACTCGAGGGCCCTCTACAGCCAGCTCAACAGCGACGTGGGGACAATCACACACGCCCTCAGCCAGCTCATTCGCTCTCTGATCACCTGGGCCCCGGAACCGCCCAGCCAGGCCATCAAGGTTGCTGGTGCATTTAGGGAGCTCCATGCGGTCGGCAAGGGCCCACCAACTCTCACGCTTATGCTTTCCATCGACGCCTACCCTGGCTGCTCCACGGCTCAGCACATCACGGATCTATGGCAACATCCCCTCCTCGGGCCAAGGTGGACAGAGCTGGTTACCGAGACGGTCTTCCTCACCCCTCCGATGCTCATGATAGTGGCCGGCAGGAATACACCGCTCCACGTGCGCAAGGGTTTGGCGATGATCACGTTGGGACATGCTACAGTACATCCGTCTCCACGTCTTTGGGTTTGGAGCGACGCAATCTTCCAGCACCGCACGCACCAGTGCATCTGGATTGACGTTCCGCACGAGTACCGCTGGCAGGTGTACGGTCATATCGAGAACCTCCGACTCCCCGGGTGGCACGCCACAGACCGCCCACGACCAAGCTTGGGCAGCCGTGCCGACGAACCTTGGGCGAATCTCAAGCTGCACTTCGATGAGCGCATCGGCGGCGCCCTCATGCAGGAGGTGGTCGTCAGTTGGCTCACGAAAGCCCTCAAGGGCTACAGGGCGGTAGTTGGGCTGCAATCTACCATCACTTTACCACAGGCGAAGATGCTGGAAATTACCAGCCCGACAGCATGCTACGCCCTGGCACACCTTACAAAAACTGCATTGTCATTTCTCCGCGACTCGCGGTGGTCGAGACCAGCCGCAGCCACGCGGACTGGAGTGAGCAGATGACGCAACTTTGGCACTCGGACCCTACAAGAGCAGCTCTCACGTTGCAATTGCGAGACTCGGATCCAGCAAGGTCCAAGAAGATAGCAGAAGTACAAGCAACGAAGGAACAACTCTCGGCATCGCGGGCGAGGAAAGGCCACCGGGAGGTGGAAGTGGACACGTCCAGGCCCGAAACGTTGCGTGTTACTTTGGACCTGCCTGTGCCGGTCGAGGCTCAGCTGGACATGTGGTTGGCGGATTTCATGCGCCACGTTTGCACCAGGAGCCATGTGAACCTCGCGCGCCAAACAACACAGGACGGCATGGAGTTGGGCACATGGCAGGTGATCAACAACTTCGAGGGCGGGTGGACGGGGAAGGTGCTCATCCAGTGCACCTCCAAGGAGGAGCTCTACCGCGTCCACCACGCCGTGCACAACCGCGGGATCAACATCCAGGGGCATGCCACTTCTGTGAACGTCCACTCCAACTACGTGGACTTGGGCAACTACCTCCGCAGCCAGGGGGGGCCCATCGGGCATTGACTATCGCAGGGCAGACTGGAATTAAATGCACGACTTCCCCATCTTCTGCTTCTAACCTTTCCTCGCCCCCGTCCCTTGAATTTACGCCCCCGCCCTCTCCGACAGGATGTTGGTACTGTGACGCTCAGCCCCCGCCGCCCCCCGCTTGACGACGCTACCGAGACGCATGCTGCACGACGACACGCAGGTCACAACCGATTGGATTTCGATACTCTGGATCCCGCGCCCCCAACGCTAGACCTCTCGTGGGTCTCCCCGACTCCAACCCAACGTTCCGACCTCCAGCCTGCAGCATTCAACTTCCCACCCCCAACTCCACCTCACGTTCTCCAGCCCCCTGGACAGCAACGCCAACACACTCAGGCACTACACGTGACAGCAACGCCAGCACACGCAGGAGCCACGCAGCGCCCAGCACTACACGAACCAACGCCCCTACCGCCAGCAGTTTCTACGCATCGCGCAGCACCACAATTCACAGCTCAATGCGATCCAGCAACGCCGCTCCGACCACGACGGGAGCTGCCGGCTCCGCTGGCAGCAGCCCCCGTGTTGACAGCGACGCAACGTTCAACGCAAAAAGGGGCATCAACACGACGAGGGACGCCAACAGTCCCAACAGTGGCGGCACCATCGTATCCACCACAGGTACCAGCAGCGAGCCCAGAGGCAGCGGTATCAACGACTCCAGCTCGTCGACGGGTACCACAATGTCCACCACGGCAGAAATCGGGGAGCTCCCATACAACGGTGCCAGCAGCTCCAGCAGCATCACAGTTCCCAACAACAGGCGAACCAACTACACCGATAACAGCAATACCAACTCCACCAGCGCCACTCCGCCCACCACTGGGGGAGCCGTCGGCTACTGTGGCAGATGTTCCGCGGCAACCTCCAGTTCCACGGATTTCGCCAGCCCCACCCGCAGCAGCACAAGGGCATCTAACAGCCACACATCTACTACGGGAAACAGCAGCTCGAATGGCAGCAGCTTCCCAGGGACCAGTAGTTCTGACAGCGACCACACCGCCGATCCCTCCGCGGTCACCGACAACTCCAGCTGCAGCAGTAGTACTAGCAGCGATATCACGGCGACGGGTACCACAGTGTTCATCACGAAGGACAGCGACGAGCTCACGGCCAAAGCTGCCGGCGTCTCCTGCAGGGCCACCGTTTCCAGTACGAGGTCAACCAACAGCACCAATGACAGCTACACCATTTCCACTTGAGTCACCGCTTCCACCTGCGTCACTGGAGTACCAGGCGGGACGACGTATGGCACTTGTACCTGCCATCGAGACGTGGCAGCCCGCATCGTCACAAATTCCACCGAGCACGACTCCAACGATACCGCTGGACACAGTACCAACGCATCCAGCAGCATCGCAACTCTTACCACGATGGGAGACGTCCGCTCCAGTCGCAGCAATCCCAGTGCATCCAACCACAACGCAGCTTCCGGCTCAAAGGGAACCCACGACAACAGTAGCGCCACCGACACCCCGTGCAGAGCCACCAGCACGGAATGCAGCAACACAACCAGCACCGCGAGTGGCAAAACGGCGGGAAGCGGCGGCGTTGACGACAGTGACGGCCTCTGCGTCGGCAGACGGTTCAACGCCAGCCTCAGACAGGATCCAGCCCCCACCCGCTCATCCCTCCGACTTCCAGCATCCCGCACCCCGTTTCCCATCTTCACCTCCACCCATCGACCGCCAGATCCCGCCAGCTCACCACCCCGACTTCCAGCCTCCTTCATCCGACGTCCCACTTCCACCTCCACCAATCGACCTTCTACCTCCAACTGCTCAGCACCCTGACCTCCGACCTCCAACGCACATCTATCTACGCCAACCTCCACCTATCGACCTCCGACCTTCTCCTATCGCCCCGCATAAGGAAGGAGAGGACAACGTGGACGAGGACGAGGGCCTCATCGACCTCGTGCGTATCCACACGTCTGGAGCCCCTAACGGTACATGGGCGAAAGACCCACGCTTAGCCGCAACCTTGCCGGGTGGACGCCGGCGTGTCGCACGTGGTTGGGTGGTCGCCGGCGTATCGCACCACATCGTGGCGGAGGACTGGGATGAGGAACAGGACGAGAAGGCAGACGAGGACCAGAAGGAGCAGGACCTGGAGCAGGATCAGGGCGAGGAACAGTTCGACTCTCCACAGCGACGCCCATCCATCGACCTCCACCCTCCACCAGCTCAACACCCCGACTTCCAAACTCCAGCACCTGCCGCCATCAAAAGAAGAAAAACCACATTTTGCCCGCAACCACCTCCTATCGACCTCCAGACTGCCACAGATCAGTCCTCCGCCCCTCAGCCTCCAGCATCCGACCGCCCACCTCCATCCCCCCCTATCGCCCCCGCTCCCACACACCTATCGCAAGACCCCACTCCCCTCCGAGGAGATTTACTTGACCCACCGCCACACAGAAACGTTCGGCACAAACCATCGCACCAGCGATTTTCCACCGACGGCGGCGCTCTGCCGCCCAAGCGCCGACAAGGCAGCCACCAAGGACGGAACCAACGAGCGCGTACCAACTCGACTCCCATCGCCACCCCTTGCGACGATTCCTTGCCTCCCACTCCCTCCCACACGAGCTCATCCCACGCCAGGCCCTACACTGGGAACTACAAGGGCTGCTCCTGGAACTGCGAAGCTTTGATGGCCACCAAAGTATCGAGGCAGACTGCCAACTGCAACCAAGTTTCCAAACTCATGGCCTCGCACGACTTTGGCATCTTTGTGGAAGCACATGGGACCAAGGGAAAGGAAGACGCCTTCTCACTACCGCCAGGATGCGCCGCATATTGGTCCCACCTGTCGGCCAGGCGCGCAGGCGTGGGCATCGTGTTGCGGCGGAGCTTCCTGAACAAGTTCGCCCAAGTTCGAGATGGGGACTTCTTAGAACCAGAACCGGGCAGGGTGGCCAGACTCCGACTCCGTGGCCCTCATGGCAACGTCGACATTTGGGCCATCTACCTCACCACAGGAGAAGGCCCAGCGAACGACCGTCTCGCACGGGACCGCTCCCACAGCATCATTAAGCAGAGCTTGGCTTCGCCACGCGATGCTTTATCTGTTCTGGCGGGGGATTGGAATTACGTGCCATACCCACAGGACCGATGGTGCTGCAATAGTCGGTGTTGGACAGGGCACAAAGACGAGGCGGAAGCCACACAGGCGCTGGAGGACGCATTCCAGCCGAAGGACCTACACGAATTATACCAGGATGGACACATATTTTTCCAGCATTGCCACCTCCCGCATTGACAGGGTGTACACCAACCACCATCCGTCGGAGCAGCTCGACCACAAATTCGGGTGCAGCGTCCTATCGAGGGTCCCCGGGCTCTCCTCGCACGCGCCACTCTCGTTTTTCCGTGAGCGTCCAACTTGTGACATGGCTGCCGAGGCCGCCGACTCGACCAACGACGGCCCCGGGAGCACAGGCACACGGAAGCAGAGGCGCATCGCCATCGGCACCATCAACCATCCAGATTGGGCGCGGCGGGTGGCTGCAGAGCTTGCTTGCATCTCCACGGATCCTCGCGACTACGACAACCCTGTTCGCAAGCTCGTCCTGGTGAAGCGGGCCATGCACACGGTGTCTGAGAACATGTCCAAGGAGGGGCTCTACGCCACAGCGCTCACGAACGATGACAAGCTCAGTTGCACTCTCAGTTTCACTCGGGCCGCCCAGGCGGTGAACGTGGACAAGATGTATTGTAAGTATTTGGAATACCCGCACATCGCTTCCTTCGTGGACCCCAAGAACCCGAATGCTTGCTTCACGACTGGCTTCCAAACGCTATTGGACCATGCTGTCTCCCTGGCGAGGCAAAGTATCACAGACGAGCTCCGCGACGTCCGACAACGACAGGACGAGGGCGACCACGACTACAAGACCACCATCCGCAAATCCAACATCCTCAGCCGGCTAAAGCGCATCATGCCGGGATCTTGCACTGCTGTGGGCGCCGTCGAGACAGCGACTGGCGAGTACGCCACTGGCCCAGCCGCTATTGCGAAAGAACTCAGCTCCCACTGGGCAACGACCTTCCGGCAACAGCCCATCAACCAACACCTGCTTCAGGAGTGGCTCAGGAGCATCCCTTCTTTTACCACGCAGCCACGCGCGTCGGAAGCGGGCAATGGCCACGGGGCGCCGCGACCGGATGCCCAGTACCAGCGCACAAACGGCCCCCACCGTCGGGCGCGACCGCAGCGTGCGCCGCTCCCGTCGCACGAGAGGCACTGGCGCATCCGCAGGAAGGACGTGGAGAACGCCATCCGCCACAGTGGCAATTCGGCGCCGGGCCCCGATGGGGTGCCGTTCCGGGCCTGGCGCGCCCTGGGCCCCCTGGGGGTATCCATCTTGTTCAACGTGGCGCAATGCTTCGAGCAGCCGCAAGGCAGGGATGACCTCCCAGGGGCGTACTTTGACGAGACCCGGGGCGAGCCACACAACTACAATGAGAGCATCCTGGTCTGCCTGGCGAAGAAAAGCTCGAGCACCACCCCTGAGGGCATCAAGGCATACGCCTCGGCCAACACCCGACCATTGAACATAGTAAACGCAGACAATCGGATTGTCGCCAGCGCCGCGCGGAACCGCTGGGAGGAACACCTTGCGAAATGGATACCTCCTCGACAACGAGGCTTCCTTCCGAGACGATCAATCTTGGCAAACTTATTTGACGTTGATACATCTAGCATGATAACGTCACTCGAGCAGGAGAACGGCGCCTGTCTCCTCATGGACTTCGCCTCTGCTCTCCCGTCGATATCCCAGGAATTCATTTTCGCGGTGTTATCTTCAATTGGCATTCCGGACAAGGCCATGAACGTCATCCACGCCCTGTACGCTGATTCGTATTGCACCGTCAGGCACGGCGCGAGTCAGGCCACGGGCTTTCGGCTTGAAGCGGGCGTGAGGCAAGGGTGCCCGCTATCCCCGCTTCTCTACGCCACGGTTGCAGAGCTGCTCCTGGACCGCATAGAGCAGGAGTGCTCTGGTACGCTGGTTCGGGCCTACGCGGATGACACTGCGCTCGTGTTCACGGACTATTGGCAAGAGGCACCGCTTCTGCAGCGCATGTTCGAGGGGTTGGCGTGCATCTCAGGCCTGCGGTTGAATTTGCAGAAATCCGTCGCTATCCCTCTCGGGCTCGAAACTTTGGAGCAATTCAGAACCCTCCGGGATCAACGATTGCTGGGGTGGGCCAGCATGCCAGTGGCAGATTGTGGCAAGTACTTGGGCTTCATCGTTGGGCTGGGCAAAGGGACGCAGTCGTGGCGGGACCCCAACAAAAAGTACATCCAGCGTTGTCGCGACTGGTCAGAACACGGCGTCGGCATGCACTTCCACATTATCGCCTGCAACACTTTTGCGGTATCTACTTTGGCGTACATCGGCCAATTGGAAGCGGTGCCGGCAGAAACTATGGCGATGGAGGAATCCGCCCTCAGGAAAACGCACAAAGGACCTGGGGAATGGGCGTCACCGGACGACTTGTGGCGTTTGAAGGAGCACTTTGGCCAATCGGCATCGTGCCACAGCATTCGCCTGATAGCCCAGGCGGCGCAATTGCGAGTCCGAGCACAGGATCCCGCGTGTACAGCGGCCCATTTCCGACGAGACGTGCGGGACCTCCGGGAAGCCTTGTCCCGACCACGCCACCTACGCAATCGACGTCGATGGGACGATTGGTATACCCGAGCCTTTGCAATCACCCTCGAGGACAACTTCCAGTGGTTTACACGCCAAATCTGCTCGACCGACGACATTGCCAACGCTTCGCCAGACGACGAGTACGAGGACGAGGACAACCGGGGCAACGCCAACGAGACGCAGCACCACGACGCCTGCGAGAACGCGGATACACCGATCCGCACCATCAGGCACGCACGAAGCCCACGACCCCCGAAAAACTTCCAGCGACGAGCCTACGCGAAGCTACTCGCCCACGACGCCACACACCCTACATTCCGCATCCGCCACAAGTTATCACGGTGGGACCTCCAGAACGCCTGTGTGCACCCGCCGCCCCCGGGGACGATCGGCAGGCGCAATGCGCCCTCCTGGCAGGCCCGCCAGGCATTGGCGAATTTACAGTTGCTTCCTTCCCTTGTCCATCCACGGGTATGCAGCGCAGTTTTCAGTACTTTATGGAACAGGTGGTGCACGCACAGACGATACCAACAGAAACATTCCTCGCACAATCAGTGCGTACTCGGTTGTGGTGGGGCCGCCGAGCACTCCATCGAACATTATTGCAGATGCCCGGTGACGAAGCACGCTTTAGAGCGCAGGCTGAACCTCTCCCCGTCCGTATACGGTAATATTCATTCGTTCTTGCTGTGCAACGTCAACATCCGCACGCGCGAGGAACTCACGTCTATCGCCTTGCTTATATACGGCATATACAACGCCACCAACCACTACAGGCACAACGCGTTCAGCCACGGCACAGACGTAAACCACGCAGTCGCGCAATGGATGCGCGAGGGAGCTAAACGCCATCGCAATGCAATGGCGACCTTGGACAACAGGTGGAATCCCTCGCGGCGGGAGAAGCCCATTCCACCCATCCCACTGCATCTCTGACCGCCGCACGGCAGTCGACTCCAACTACTCCCATCTCCACCTCCACCTCGATTTCATCTTCCATCCTCCCACCTCCCCCTCCACCACTCCACATTGGACCGGCGCCTCCACTTCGACATCATCTTCTGCGACCAGCAGGCCGAGCACGAACAACCGTGCTGCGCACCGCAACTGGGAATGACGGCGCGATAACTAGCACCTTGCGCCGACTCCGGCTCCTCCTACACTTTCCAGCTCCACCCCGACTCCAGCGGTAACTCTGCCCCCGGCGTCGTCTACTCATCCCAGGCCGCCGCGTTTTTCGACCGCCACAGCACCAGCACTTTTGACACCCGCTTCCCGGACAAGCTTGTCCCATGAACGTGGCCGAATTTCGACGGGTGGACGCGCAACGCAATGATGCCAGGGCCGATTCCGCCTCTGTCTGGGACGCTTGTCCGCCGTCGCTCGGCAAAGAGGCAGTGCGGCATCCGCATCGCCCCCAACGCCAGCATCAATATCGTTACCAGCACCGACGCGATCTCCATCGCCACTATCGTCGACCGTGTTGGTTCCGTTTGTGCGGGATCTCCGCGAGGTACAACGTCACGACCTTCGACGTTTGCGTTGACATCAACGTCGCCCCCACCACGACAGCCGACGATTCGACTCCGAGCGCGACTCCCAGTCCGACGCCGGCACCGACTCCATATTGTTTAGCACTGCGGCCACAATTACCGGCACTTCCACCAGCGTGACCAGTTCAACGCGGTTGAGCGGGGCAAGCGGCACGCCGTTGACGACGACCCCGGTACTATCGCCGGCGCCTGCACCAACATCGTCGCCAGCGCCGACACCGACACCGATGTCAGCGCCTACGATGGCACCATCGCCGGCGCATGCGCCAACAGAGTCGCCTGCACCGACGCCGACGCCGACGTCCACAATTTCGCCGGCACCGACGCCTGCGCCAGTGCCATCGCCATCACCGACGCCGACACAGACGTCGGCATCGTCACCAACACCGACGCTGGCGCCTACGCCAGCACCGTCGCCTGCACCAAACCCGACACCGACGTCGACGCCTACGCCGGCACCGTCGCCGAAGCCTACGCCAGCACAATCGCCAGGACCGACGCCGTCCCCGACGTCGGCGCCTACGCAGGCACGACTTTGTCTCCAGCCCCTACTCCGTCTCCAGCTCCCCCGCCAGACGGCGAAAATTTCGATACCAGCAGCACGACATTGGGCAGCGTGACAGGATCCAGCAGGAGGACGCTGAGGGGCAGGACGAGCGCCGGCAACACGACGCGGATCCTTTCGATCGGCCACGCCGATACGACACCGATACAACGCCGAACAGACCCGCGCAACAAACTCGAACCACGGCCGACACACTGCTGATCCACAGCTGACACACGCAACCGGCACACAACTGACCCGCAGCACCCGACCTACGCAGCGAAACCGAATCAAAGCCGACCCGCAATTGATCCACCGTAGCCGACCCGCACAACACACTAGATCCACTGCCGACCCCCTCCTCCGCACAACAGCACTACGCGACTACATGGCATCAATCCACACTTTGGGTGTACCGGCCTATCCGCGATTTTAGCTGTGCGCTCGTTGCGCCATGCTTTGGGATGTCTCAGCGTCTTGCACCGCCAAATATTTCTGCCACCTCTGCACGAGATGCCCACGATGTTGTGTCGCACCATGCTGTGTCGCACGATGCTGTGGTGCACCACGCTGGCGCAGCTCTTGATACTATCATCGGCGGCTCCCGCACCGACCCGCTCACCGACTCCCGCACCGACCAGGTCACCGACTCCCGCACCGACCAGCTCACCGACTACCGCACCGTCCAGCTCGTCAACTCCTGCGCCAACCAGCTCGCCGCTCCTCAGGCCGACGACGGCACTGTCGAAGTGAAGGCTTATTGCACGAGATGCCCACGATGTTGTGTCACGCCATGCTGTCCTGCACGATGTTGTATTGAACCACGCTGGCACAGCTCTTGATACTATCTTCGGCTACTTCCGCTCCGACAACGTTACCGACTCCTGCACCGACCAGCTCACCGATTGCCGCACCGACCAGCTCGTCGACTCCTGCGCCGACCAGCTCGCCGATTCTCAGGCTTCGACTCCCGGTGGGACGACCTTCCAAATTCGGACGGTTACGCGGTTACGTGTGGCGGCATCTGGCTTTCCAACTCCTCCTCCGGCTCCGTCTCGTTTTCCAAGTCTGGCGTCTCGGGCTCTGACTTCAGCTCCGACGCTGGACGGCATGCGCCACGATGTCGGCATAGGAGCGCGTAGTGCTACGAGCACCAGCAGCACGGCGCTGGGCAGCACGACGGGCTATCACAGCACGACGCTGCAACACTGGGCGGTACGACGCCAGCACCAGCCCCCACCCGACCGTGCAGGGCAGCGACCACGCACTGCCGACTCCGAGGCGGTGGTCGTCCCAAGGCATACATACGGTTTGGTCGGGCCTCTCTGGCACGAGGGGGGGCCACTTTGTTAACACGTGTTTGGCTCAGGGTACCGTCGCCAGCCCCGACGCCGACTCCGACATCGGCGCCTACGCCAGCAACGACGCCGGCTGTGACGAACGCCGGGTGGATGGATCTCGGTTCAGCGGTATGTGTGTGTGTGTGTGTGACCGGCGATACATGTGATGCATCTTGATTTTGGCAGCACCCATTGATTACCACCTCATCTGGTCTACACTTGCAGGAGGATGCGTCTACTGTACTACTACTGCGTCTACCTCTTCTTCCACATCTGATCTGCCTTATGCATCCCTCGGGGGCCTGGCGAGGTGTTCCATGGGCGGCCAGCGCTCCTCGCCTCCCCCGTGCAGCCCATCTCATCCCTTCTCCGCTTTCTCTAGCGTGGTTTTTTTTTGGCCGCCCAGCCCACAGGCGTGCACACCTTGTCCTTCCCGCCCCTGTTCGGAAGGGCTCGGGCAGGCATTGTTGTGCTCGCCCTGCTTAAACCTATCACTACTTTAGTTTGACTTGCCGACTTGCCCGTCCTCCCTCTTTCCTCCCCCCCTCCTTCGCACGTGTGCTGCGTGTCCGTTTCTGCGACCCCTGGGGCGGTCGTGTTACTCAGTGTAATGCGGCGTTATGTTCTGCGGCTGATTCGGCCCCCAGAGAACATAACCACGGTTGGGTGTCGTCAGCCGGGGCCGGGTACATTGCAGTTTCTTGTGTTTGTTTCCTCCTCCCCTCTCCTGTCTCTCCCCCCTCTGTTCCCTCCCCCGCCTTTTTTTTTGCAGGTGGATCCGAGGCTTCGCTTCGGGTCCTTTGCCCGTCCCCTAGCGGGGTCGGGACTGCCCTTCCCCGCTTCCTCTCCCTGCTCCTGTCTTCCTCTTTCCCTCACTCCTTCCGTCTGTTGGCTTAAAAAACCGGTCTTAAGTAATATTTCCGCCCCAGCGCCCGGGCAATAATTGTCACGGGCGGCCCTTTCGCTGTCCTGTCCACGTGGCCGATAGTGTTTCCGTATTCTCTGGTAGTCTCAGGTGTAGTTAGTTCTACTGCCTGCCCGCGAGCTTGAGAGGACACTTTTCTGTGGCATTAGGTCGCCGGCCAGCGAGCTTGAGAGGAGAGTGGGTGGTGGAAAAAAATTATTATTACTACAGGTACTACTATTACAACTACTATTATTAGAACTACGCTTGCGAATTCTACGACTAATTCAACGACCATTGTTACTACTACTACTACTACTACTACTACTACTACTACTACTACTACTACTACTACTACTACTACTGCTACTACTACTACTACTACTACTACTACTACTACTACTACTACTACTACTACTACTACTACTACTACTACTACTACTACTACTACTACTACTACTACTACTACTACTACTACTACTTCTACTTTTATAACTACGATTACAATGATTATTAGTACTACTTCTACTATTACCTCTACTATTACTATTATTACGACTTCTACAATGTGTTGCTGTGTTTTTCTTATTACTACCGTTCTCCCCGCTGGCCCTTCCCATGCCTCCCCTCCCCGCGCTGCTGCTGTCCGAGGCTCGAGCTCCACGGTCAACCCGTTGCGCGGGTTGATTGTCCTTTTGAACGTGGTTTCTGGACTCGCTCTCGAGCCGCGGTGGCCAGCGCGGCGCGATGCCCTTTCTCGAGGGCCGTTTTCACGTTGGTTCGCTGACCTTCCGCGCTGCGAACGACGTCGCCAGGATCCTGGCCCGCGTGAGCTCCGAGTGCGACACCTCGCACCCCTTGGTCAAAGAGCTGATCGACAGGGTCGGGAAGCACGGCGATGACGCGCAGTGGATCGAGGGCGCCTCTTGAAGGTGTTCAACATGAAATGTACCCGACGGGTTTGCAAACCTCGCGGCGCCGTTGCGGCTGCCATCCCGCTGCCCGATCGTGACGAGCCCATGCCGGCGCCCGATGTGCATGCTGATGATGGCGATGATGGCGCCCATCGTGCTGACTGACAGCAGATTGAGTAGAAGTCTTAGTCTTGACGAGCAGGAAGCCTTGGCTAGGTTCGCCGCCGCCACTTCCGTTTTGTTGGGTTGCTCTGATGGGCTGATGGGCCGTCTGCGCCACCCTCTGCAGCTTCCCCGTCGCCCGCTACTACTGGCATCGACAGTGTGCGATTTTTCCCGGAAGGGGCGTGGGCCCAGGGTTTTCTTTTATTCGGTGATTCCCCCCGGTGCCAACTCCTGTAGGGCCGGTGGATTTCCGTTGGATAAAAAACAAAGTGAAATCCAATTCGGGGTGAAAAAATGCGTTTCGCGCGTGCCCGCTCGAGGAAAGTCGCCCCCTGCCTCGGATCCTCGATCAATAACGGGGTCCGCGGACACCCGTTTTCTTTAATAGAAAACGAGGTGAAGTCGAATTCGGCGTGGAAGGTGCGTTTCGTGCGCGCCCGCTCGAGCAAAGTCGTCCCCCCATCTCGGATCCTCGATAAATAACGGGGTCCGCGGACCACCGTTTTCTTCGATAAGAAACGAAGTAAACTCCAACGCGGCGCGGGAAGCGTGAAAATATTAAGTTTTTGCGTGCCCTCTCGAGGATGGTACGCCCCCCGCGCAAACAAAAATCGAGGATGTCTCGAGCGAAACGCTTGTTTTGTAAAAGTTGAGGGACCTGGGCTCCCCTAGTACCCTGGGAGGCCCTGGGAGCGCAGACGCGGCGTAATCTACGAGGGATCGTGGCGCTTGGAGCGCGGACCACGCGTGATTTGCAAGGGATCGTGGCCTTCGGAGCGCGGGCGCAGCGTCATTTACGAGGGGTCGGGGCCTTGGGAGCTCGGACGCAATGTAATTTACAAGGGATCGTAGCCTTTGGAGCGCGGGCGCAGTGTAAAATACAAGAGATCGGGGGCCTGGGGGCCCAGACGCAGCGTAATTTACGAGGGATCGTGGCCCTGGGGGCGCGGACGCATTGTATTTTAAAGGAGGGAGCGCGACCCCCATGCAATTTACGATGGATCGTGGCCCTGGGAGCTCGGACGCAGAATACTTTAGGAGGGATCGTGGCCTTGGGAGCGCGACCCCAGTGTAATTTTCGAGGGATCGCAGCAGTGGGAGCGCGGACCCTGCGTAATTTCAAAGGATCGTGGCCCTGTGAGCGCGGACGCATCGTAAATTACTTAGGATCGTGGCCCTTGGAGTGCGGGCGCAGCGTCATTTACGAGGGGTCGGGGCCCTGGGAGCGCGACCCCAGTGTAATCTACGAGGGATCAGGGCCCTTGGAGCGCGGGCGCAGTGTGAATTGTTAAGGTTCGTGGCCCTAGGAATGCGGACGCAGCGTAATTTATGATGGGTCGTGACAGTTGGAGCGGGGGCGCAGCGTGATTTTGGACCTCGTCTCGGTTGGTACTGCTTCGGTTCGTCCTGTCTCAGTTCGTCGTGTTTCGGTGTGCCGCGTTTCGGTCCGTCCTTGCTCGGTGCGTTCCGTCTTTCTTTGGATTCGCCCCCTCTTGGTTCGTCCCGTTTCATAGCTGAATCGGAACTTGAGTTCGGCAGCGCGGCACAACGCGGCGCAGGACAGCGCGCATTGTTGGCACGTTTATTTCGTGGGGTGGTTCGTGGGATGTTTCGTGGGGTGTTTCGTGGGGTGTTTCGTTTGGTGATTCGTGGGGTGTTTCGTGGCTGTTCGTTGGGTGTTTCGTCAAGTGTTTCCTAGCGTGCTTCGTTGAGTGTTTCTTGGGGTGTGTCGCGGGGTGCTTCGTAGGGCGTTTCGTGGGCTGTTTCGCGTTTCGTTTCGTCCAGCATTTCGCAGCACGGCACAGCGCAGCGCAGCTTCTGGCACGGTGCCATCACCATCGATCTATTCATCACTGCTACTGCCCATCGCCCAATCCAGGTGTCTCGAAACGTTTCCATGCTTCACATGTCTATATATCTTTCCGGGTTCGTGGGTCCAGCATGTTTAGCACGCCCCTGCTCCTCCTCCTCCGCGTCCTCAGTCCTCCTCAGGGTCCTCCTCCTCCTCCTCCTCCTCCTCCTCCTTCTCCCCCTCCTTTGGGACTTGGGCGCTGAGATGCCGCATGCCGCGGCGATGCGCTGATGCGCCAGGCCGCCCGCCAGTTTGCAGTCAACCAACCTTTCTATGGAGCCCTTTCCCTTCGTCGCCTTCTTCTTCTTCTCTGCCCTTCTTCCTTCCCCTCCCCTATGTTCAGGGCAGACAGTGGCCACCCACATGCCTTCAGAGTCGAATTGAATCGAGGAGGAGGGTGAGGAGGAGGAGGAGGAGGGGGAGGAGGAGGAGGAGGAGGAGGAGGACGAGGAGGAGGAGGAGGAGGAGGAGGAGGAGGATGAGGATGAGGATGGTGATAATGCTGATGCTGCTGCTAATTATGATGATTATGAGGAGGGGGAGGAGCAGGAGGAGGAGGAGGGGGAGGAGGAGGACCGTAGTATAACCAGGATGCGTCAACGAGGGTGCGATGAACCCACCCGTCTAACGTCCCCTTCCCATACGTCCTTGGAAGTATTCCTTTCCACTGCGGGAAGGGTGGGCGTACCTCTCGAGCGGGGCTCCGTTTTGTAAGGGGTCCACCTCCCATCCTTCGAGCTAAAATGCAAAGAGGTAAGGAAGTGTCCAGCGACATCCCCGTGGTGCAAAGGATGTGTCCTCTATCCGTGCGAAGTGTTGCACGATTTCAAATTTCGCAGCGTCTGCTTTGAACGAGAAACCGCCTTCTATGCGTGTCGCTGCTGCGCAGTTTGAGACGTCGGGTCATAGAGTTTGAGGACGGCTCAAGCGAGCACCGTATTTCTCCCTCTTCGCTCTCTCGCTGTCTCCTTGCAGCCCCCTAGAGCCCCTCGAGGAGGCGGGGGGGTAGCGCCCGGACTTGGGCGAAGTCCGGCCTTGCGCAGTCCGACCGCGGCGTGGCCGCGGCGTGCGCCTGGTGCATGGGAGGAAACAGGCGGCGGCGAGCGACGATCACTAGCCAGTTGTAGGTTTATCAGCACCGAACACCAGGTTAGTACACCAACAGATCAGATGGTCCAGGTTCATGAGCCGAACATACGGTCAGTACAACCTGGCTAATCGCATCTCGAAGCAAGGCACTGCTTTCCTCTCAGATCCAGGTCTCTGACGATGTGCTTTTTCCCGGAAAGGGCATATGCCCTGGGTTCTCTTTTAGTTTTGCAAAACAACGGCCGGGTCTTTACTTGCGACGGGCCGGCGAATTTTTTGCTATAAATAACGAGGTCGCGTAGGGCCGGCGAATTATAATGTGACGTATCCTGAGCGAAACATTGGTTTTTGAAATTCCGATTGATAAAACAAAGGGTGCGGGACACATTTGGGCCAGGGGCACGAATCCGTGTGTTTTTACGTGTGTTTCCATAGATTGGCCCACTCCAGGGGCACGAATCCATGTGTGTTTTACGTATGTTCCTACAGATTGGCCCTCTCCAGGAGGCCCCACGAGGGCCCAGGTCACCCAGGGGAGTATCGAACATGGTTGTCCCGAGCTGGAACCACATGTTTTTACGTGTCACCCAGTGGGGTATCTAACAAGATTGTCCCGAATTGGAGCCACGTGTCTTTACGTGTCCAGGCCACCCATGGGGGGTATCTAGCATGATTGCCCCGAGCAAGGACCACGTGTTTTAAAGTGTCCATGCCACTCATGGGGTGTATCTAACATGGTTGTCCCGAGCTGGCGCCATGTGTTTTTACGTGCCCAGGCCACCCAGGGGGGTATCTAACATGGTTGTCCCGAGCAAGGACCACGGGTTTCTACGTGTCCAGGCCACCCAGGGGTGTATCTATCATGGTTGCCCAGAGCTGGCACCACGTGTTTTTCCCGACCATTCTGTGGTGTTGGGTCCTCGTTTTGAAAAGACAGCGCCCCGCGTTCCTTCCTTCCCGCTGCCCCCTCCCTCCTCCTCCCTCCTCCCATCTCCTGCCTCTGCTCTCCGCATGCCCATCCCATTCTGGCACACCCATCACACGGTTCGTGGCCCCATAGGGAGCTCCACCGAAGGCCCCAGCGGGAGCGTCCGCATGGCATTGCCGCGCCATTTTGTTACACCCCTCACACGGTTCGTGGCCCCATAGGGAACTCCACTGAAGGCCTCAGCGGGAGCGTCCGCATGGCACCGCCGCCCCATGTTGGCACACCCCTCACACGGTCCGTGGCCCCATAGGGAGCTCCACCGAAGGCCCCAGTGGAAGCGTCCGCATGGCACCCCCGCTCCATTTTGTCACACCCCTCACACGGTTCGTGGCCCCATAGGGAGTTTCACCGAAGGCCGCAGCGGGAGCGTCCGCATGGCACGGCCGCGCCATTTTGGCACACCCCTCACACGGTTCGTGGCCCCATAGGGAGCTCCGCCGAAGGCCCCAGCGGGAGCTTCCGCGTGGCACCGCCGCCTCATTTTGACACACCTCTCACACGGTTCGTGGCACCCATAGGGAGCTCCACCGAAGGCCCCAGTGGGGGCGTCCGCATGGCACAGCCGCGCCATTTTGTTACACCCCTCACACGGTTCGTGGCCCCAATAAGGAGCTCCACCGAAGGCCCCAGCGGGAGCGTCCGCATGGCATTGCCGCGCTATTTTGGCACACCCCTCACACGGTTCGTGGCCCCATAGGGAACTCCACCGAAGGCCCCAGCGGGAGCGTCCGCATGGCACGACCGCGCCATTTTGGCACACCCCTCACACGGTTCGTGGCCGCATAGGGAGCTCCACCGAAGGCCCCAGCGGGAGCGTCCGCATGGCATTGCCGCCCCATTTTGGCACACCCATCACACGTCTCGTGGCCCCATGGGGAGCTCCACCGAAGGCCCCAGCGGGAGCTTCCGCGTGGCACCGCCGCCTCATTTTGACACACCTCTCACACGGTTCGTGGCACCCATAGGGAGCTCCACCGAAGGCCCCAGTGGGGGCGTCCGCATGGCACAGCCGCGCCATTTTGTTACACCCCTCACACGGTTCGTGGCCCCATAGGGAGCTCCGCCGAAGACCTCAGCGGGAGCGTCCGCATGGCACCGCCGCCCCATTTCGGCACACCCCTCACAAGTTTCGTGGCCACCATAGGAAGCTCCACCGAAGGCCCCAGCGGGAGCGTTCGGATGGCACCGCCGCCTCATTTCGGCGCACTCCTCACACGGTTCGTGGCCCCAGAGGGAGCTCCACCGAAAGCCTCAGCGGGAGCGTCCGCACGGCACGGGCCGCGCACGGGGCTCGGGCGACACCAAGAAGACTCCCTGCTCGCCCGCGTCAGTTTTTCTCTCCCTCATGCACGCCGTAGTCCTTTTTGTTGCCCCCCCTCCTTCGTCTCCTCTCCCTCGCGGTACTCGCAGCAGCATGTGGTTGGGTTCTTCGTCAGGCTAATCATGTGTCCAGGCCACCCAGGGGGTATCTAACATGGTTGTCCCGAGCAAGGACCAAATATTTTAACGTGTCCATGCCACCCAGGGGTGCATCTAAAATGGTTGCCCAGAGCTGGATCCACGTGTTCTTACGTGTCCAGTAACATGATTGTCCCGATCTGAAAAGACATTGCGAGGGATGTCTCGAGCGGGAGCGCGAATTCAGCGTATCCAGGCCACGTAGGGGGTATCTAACATGGTTGTCCCGAGCTGGAACCACCTGTTTTTACATGTCCAGGCCACCCACGGGGATATCTAACATGGTTGTCCCGAGCTGGAACCGCGTGTTTTTCCGTGTCCGGGCCACCCAGGGGGGTATCTAACATGGTTGTTACGTATGTTCTGTACTCGGAAATGTGTTCGGAGAGCACTTTTCGCTTCCCCTCGCCCCCCAGGACGCCCGAGGAGACTCGAGAAGCGTGAACACACATATAGGTTCTTAACGCCCAAGGGCGGGATAAGTGTGAAAACACATGTGTTCCTGACGCCCCAGGGCGACAAGCGTGAAAACACATGGGTGGTTCCTAGCGCCCCAGGGCGGAGAAGCGTGAACACATATGGGTTTCTGACGCCCCAGGGCGGGACAAGCGTGATTGGTTCGTAACGCTTCAGGGCGGGAGAAGCGTGACAACACATGGGTTCTGAACGCCCCAGGGCTGGACAAACGTGAAAACACACGGTTCCTAACGCCCTGGGGCGGGACAAACGTGACAACACATGAAGCGTGAAAACACATGGGTTTCTAACGCCCCAGGGCGGGACAAACGTGGACATCTGGGTTTCTACCGCCCCAGGGCGGGAGAATCGTGACAACACATGGGTTCCGAACGCCCCAGGGCGGGACAAGCGTGAAAACACATGGGTTCCTAACGCCCCAGGGCGGGAGAAACGCAAACACACATGGTTCCTAACGCCCCAGGAGGCCCCAGGAGGCCCCAGCACAGCCCTCGGCACGGTACATCAAGATCGATACACTCAGCATTGCAACCTGGCACGTTCCCTAGCACGTTCCGTGGCGCGTCCCGTGGCGCGTCCCCTTGGCACGTCGCGCGGCGCGTCCCCTGGCACGTCCCGTGGCACGTCAATTGGCACGTTCCGTAGCGCGTCCCCTTGGCATGTTCCGCGGTGCGTCCCCATGGCACGTCCCCTAGCACGTGGCCTGGCGCGTCCTTTGGGACGATCCGCGGCGCGTCCTCCTAGCATGTCCCCCTGTCAAAAAGCTCGGGGGCAGCTACTATGTGCTCAGGCAGCTCGAGCTTAAGATCCCGATCATTTCGGTCAGGGCTCGGATGCAACGGAGGGAGGACTCGATCCACAACGATATAGAGCACAATCGCAGCATGGCACATCGCAGTTCAGCACGGCGCAGCACAGCACAGCCTTTGGCACGGCACATCAAGATCGATACACTCAGCATTGCAATTGCCCGCCGCCCTGTCAGGTGTCTTTGAAACGTTGCCGTGCCTCACATTCCTATCTTCCTTTCCGGGTTCGTGGGTCGATCATGTTTGAATCGAGGCGGTTTTCTTTGACTTCGGTGTTTGGGGTCCGCGGCCATCAGAAGCGGGCCCGGGATGAAAAAATGCCATTGGCCACGGATAGGAAGCAATCATTTCGTCGGGTTCCTGCGGGCCCCTTGACGTCGTGAAACAATGTGCTTCGAGGTTCGAGGTCTTTGGGGGCGCTTCTGAGGGTCCTGGAGCGCCCTCGCGGCCACGGCTCGGCCTGATTCCCCGTAGAATGCCCGCCAGACTGGGCAGGTCCTGGGGGCCTTACCGGGGGCCCCGGGGCCATCCCAAAAGCGACTCAGGCGAAATGCCGGTCCGGGGAAGGGGTCGGGGTCTCAGGGGCTCAGACTGTGAACAAATTACGACGTCGGGGGCCTCGGTCCACCTCCGATCCTCGAGGCTCGAGGTCTTCTGGATGTTTTTCTGGCTTATTTCTTGGGCCGGCGGCTTCAGACCTTCGGGGGCCTCGGGAAACCTCCGCGGGATCGGGGATTGCAACCAACACGGAAGAAAAAGAGAGCCCCGACATCAGAGAACGACGCCGACGTGGCCTGACGGGGCAGCTCGCCAGAGGCATCGGAGCTCACACCACGTCTCACCGAGCTCCTTTGGGCAGGGCTCCACAGGGGAGCCTCCGTTGCCGGTGCGCGCAGCTGCCGCCGATGCCTGCTGCGGCGGTACCTCGACTGACCCCAGGGCCCCTGGGGACCTCCGATGCCAGTGCTGCTCGCGGCCGCAGACGCCGCCGCGGCTGCCGCCGCTGCCCGCCGTGCCCGGCACGGTCGCGTTGACACCGTCCCCCTGGCGGCCGCGGCCGCTGGAGCCTGGCGCAGCGTTGGACTCGCGCGAGCCACCGCCCGCGCTTTGCGCGAGCAGCGGGCAGGGCGCCGTCTCGGCCCGCTGCTCCGAGGGTTCGGAGCCTACCCGGGATCCACGGGGCGGGGTGCGCGGGCCGCCGCGCCGCGGCGGCTTCCCGTCTTGGCCGCGCATGCAAGCACTGGTCGAGCCAGGTGGGGTGGGGCTTGAGGAGAGGCCAACCGACAGGCCACGCCTGGGGGAGCTGCGGCTCTGACCCCCCCGCCTTCATGGGGACAGAGGAGATGTAGTCGAAATGATAGGTTCCCCCGGGGTGACAAAGAACACAACTCTCCGAACTGGGGTTTACAGGGGGGATCACCAAGGCTGCCCGAGTGGGGCCGCACTAAGCGGTGTCGGAGGATCACGCCGCAACATGCATCTGCGATGCGGCGTTGTCAGCCGCGCCGCCAGCCTGAGAACTTATACCGAGAGGATACCGTGACGCGAAGTTGCCGCGGCGCCATTTTCAAGCCTTGGGCGTCAAGTGCCGACCCTTTCCCCTGGACCAGTTTCTCTTCATCCAGAGTCGCTCTTTGACGGCCCCAGGGCTCGAATGCGGCCCTGCAGGTGGAAATCGAGGAAAAACGTAATGATGTTAGTAGTCACAACGTGGGATGTCTGGATGCCAGGAGCGGCCGCGAAGGCGGCGCAAGGCCGCCTAAGTCATCCGCCCGTAGGCCCACCCCTTCAGCAGAAGGCACATGTACAAGACAAGACAACCGTGCCTGGCCGTACCATCCTGGTCCCAAGGCCCTAGGCCCGAGGGCGTAAGATGGTGAACAGACCCTCCTCGCGTCGGCCAAGGGCGCGCATGCACAATGCACGGGCCCAGCAAGGCCCTGGCCAAGCACGGTGGTGTGGTGTACGGATGCCCTCTGCGCAAGGGGCGGCCGCGCGGGAGCCGCAGGGCCTCCTAAATCAGCCACCCGTGTGCTCCTTTTCATCGCAGCCACGCCGGCTGACCGCCAGCGGCGGGAGTTGAGCACGCACCCTGCGCGGACCCCCTCCTGGGCGGCTGGTCCGCCCCCGCTGCCGCCGCCGCCGCCGCCGCCGCCGCCGCCGCCGCCGCCGCCGCCGCCGCCGCCGTCGTCGTCGTCGTCGTCGTCGTCGTCGTCGTCGTCGTCGTCGTCGTCGTCGTCGTCGTCGTCGTCGTCGTCGTCGTCGTCGTCGTCGTCGTCGTCGTCGTGGTGTTCTCCTCCTTTTCCTTCGGGCTTCGAGCTGCGGGCAGCTCTGTCGCAGGTGACTGATGCCCTCGCAGCCCTCCGCCTTGGTCAAAAGCCAGGGGCAGGTGAAGACAAACAAATATGCGCAGCGAACAAAAGTGGGGAACGACCGAGTGGCGAGATGGAGGTCCTGAGGCGGAGAAGAAAGTGGAGGCCTGGCGGCTGCGGCTGCACTCACGCGGACGCAGGGGCAAAACAGTGTTGCCTCCTCCTCCCCCTACTCTTTCTTCTTCTCTGTCTCCTGACTCCCCCCAGTGTGGTCGTAATTGATTGCCCAAGTTCCGTTCCGTTCCCGCGTCTCCTCCTTCTCCTTCTCCTCCTCTTCCTCCTCCTCCTCCTCCTCATCCTCGTCCTCCTCGTCCTCCTCCTCCTTCTCTCCTCCTCTTTCCATTTGGGCGGAAATACGGGCGTCTGCTATTAGCTCGCCGGTCGGACTTGCCGTCCGATGTCGGGATAGCTAACCCTCTTGAAGGTCAACGGACTTTATCTTCTCCACTGTTGCTTTTTCTCCGTCTTCTATCTTGGGATCGTTTTTCTTCCCTTGCCCGCCCCTCCCTTGTTGGCCAGTGTCGCTCTTCGGCAGGCTGCAAGGCGTACGCACCTGAAGCGTCAGTGGCCGCGGCGTCGGCCGCGGAAAGCAAGCGCCGGTCCAGTCAGGTGGCTCAAAGATGATGCCCACCTCCCAACCCAGACAGGCTCGCGCTACAAAGGACAGAGTCCCTCCAGGGGACGAGTCGGCCAGCGTCGCTCCTCCTCGTGCTTCCAGGCCAAAGGCTCGAGTCCACGACGACCCTTGGCGTCGCGTTGATGCCGCCCCGAGTTGCCAGACCGCATATGCACAGATAGGCACAATATGTGCTTCAACGTTTGTTTCATGACCCTCTCTATAGTAACATACCCGCGTTGGAATGCAACTCCTCCTCCGTCTTCGGAGCCCTCCAGAGCTCCATCCCGAAGGCCCTCCGGAGCTGGCCCGATCGGCCTCGGGGCCCCAGGGGGACCGCTCGCCTAGGCTCTCTCACTCTCGGCTCCTCGGACGGCCCGCCACGGCCGCTGGCCACTCTGCGGGGCCGGGGCCGCGGCCCCGCGAGCCGCCTTGGCTCGGCGGCGAAATCCGAACCCTACCCTCGCCGACCAAGGATTCTGGCAACTCGATGGACGGGCAGGGCTTGGAAATCGTCGAACACGTGGCGAAATTAGAACCCTACCCCCGCCCCCCATCGATTCAGGAGAATCGATGGTTGGTGGGGGTAGGGTTATCGGAGCCGCCTCGAAGCCGCCTTCGAGACGAGTCGTGCCGTCCTGTCCTCTGGGCGGCGTGCCAAGGCGAATGCAGCGGGGGCGGGCCTTCGAAGGCTCAGACAGCTTATCCAGCCTTCTGAGAAGCCTTCCTTGCTCTCCGAAGCTACAGGGGGCTTCTTAGAAGGCGCGAGGGCTGCTGAGAAGCCCCGCCGCCTTGAGGAGGAGGAGGAGGAGGAGGAGGAGGAGGAGGAGGAGGAGGAGGAGGAGGAGGAGGGCCATATCCTCCTCCCTGCTCTCTTCCTGGTGTCGCTGCCGTTGTCGCCGTCGACATCGTTTTCAGACATAGCTTCGTGAACCCGTTTTGCTCCGACGTTGGCTGTTTTATTCGGTCTGCCCGCGCGCGCTTCCCTGCGCCGTCAGGGGCCCAGCCCACCGCAGCTGGTTGGTTCGCCGTCCTGCTATGCTCTGCTATCTTCCTCTTGCTCTTGAGCGCCTCACGCTGGCGGGCCTCCTCGGCTGCCCACCGGCGTGCCTTGCCACCT